ATCTGATTTTATCCGCAAACATCGGTTTTAATCCGCAAACATCTGATTTTATACGCAAACATCTTATTTTAATCTGCAAATGTCTGCTTTTATCCGCAAACATCTGATTTTATCCGCAAACATCTGATGTTATCCGTAAACATCTGATTTTAATCGCAAACATCTGATTTTATCCGCAAACATCTGCTTTTATCCGCAAACATCTGCTTTTATCCGCAAACATCTGATTTTATACGCAAACATCTGCTTTTATCCGCAAACCTCTGGTTTTATCCGCAAACATCTGATTTTATCCGCAAACATCTGATTTTAATCGCAAACATCTGATTTTATCCGCAAACATCTGCGAACATCTGCAAACATCTGCTTTTAACTGCAAACCTCTGCTTTCATCCGCGTTCGGTTTGTCTGCATTTCCTTTGTCCATTTCGGTCCTGTTTCGTACGCAAACGTCTGGTTTCATTCGCGCTTTTTGTTTTCCTTTTTCTCGTGTATACTTTAAGGACATAAATAGATATTTTTTAATCATTAAGCTTACATTTAAATTAATTGTTAGAAAACATATATGTTTCATTTCAAATACATTTGGAATTATAACATCTTCAATTTGTATGGAATTTGTTTGAAAAACACTTATTTAGGCCTATAATTTTTCATCTAACTTTTTAATTTTGGCATAACAAATATTTTTAATATATATGTAAGAATTAATAGACTTATTATTTCTGTGGTACTCTTCACTAAAGTATACCTGTTTTTTAAATTTAAATCTGGTGAATATAATTAAATTATTTTCCCATTGGGAAAATGTCATGTTGAATAAACTTATTTTCTTTACAGGTTGTTTTTATTCAAATAATTATTTTTAGAGTTATAAAGTTGTGTGCCGTGAACGGCTAACAACCAGTTAGTTAAAGCTCAGTAAAATTTGACAAAGCAGGTAAACTTAACTAAAGTATACACGAGAAAAAGGAAAACAAAAAGCGCGAATGAAACCAGACGTTTGTGTACGAAACAGGACCGAAATGGACAAAGGAAATACAGGCAAACCGAACACGGATGAAAGCAGAGATTTGCAATTAAAAGCAGATGTTTGGGGATTTTCGCGGATAAAAGCAGATATTTGCGGATAAATGCAGATGTTTGCGGATAAAAGCAGATGTTTGCGGATAAAAGCAGATGTTTGCGGATAAAATCAGATGTTTGGAGATTAAAACAGATGTTTGCGGATAAAAGCAGATGGTTGCGGATAAAATCAGATGTTTGCGAATAAAATCAGTTGTTTGTGGGTAAAATCAGATGTTTGCGGATAAAAGAAGATGTTTGCAAATAAAATCAGATGTTTGCGGATAAAGGCAGATGTTTGCGGGGGTGCACTAACCGGATGAAATAAGGCGTTCGCAGATAAAAGCATGTTTACGGGTGAAACCGTATGAAAGCAGATGTTTACGGATAAAAGCAGATGTTCGCGGATAAAATGAGATGTTTGCGGATAAAAGCAGATGTTCGCGGATAAAAGCAGATATTTGCGGATAAAATCAGATGTTTGCGGATAAAAGCAGATGTTCGCGGATAAAAGCAGATGTTGGCGGATAAAAGTAGATGTTTGCGGGCGATTGCAGATGTTCGCGGGTGATTGCAGATGTTCGCGGATAAAAGCAGTTGTTCGCGGGTGACTGCAGATGTTCGCGGATGAAAGCAGATGTTCGCGGATAAAAGCAGATGTTGGCGAATAAAATCAGATGTTCGCGGATGAAAGCAGATGTTCGCGGATAAAAGCAGATGTTGGCGAATAAAATCAGATGTTCGCGGATGAAAGCAGATGTTCGCGGATGATTGCAGATGTTCGCGGATAAAATGAGATGTTCGCGGATAAAAGCAGATGTTCGCAGATGAAAGCAGATGTTTGCGGATAAAAGCAGTTGTTCGCGGGTGACTGCAGATGTTCGCGGATGAAAGCAGATGTTTGCGGATAAAAACAGATGTTCGCGGATAAAATGAGATGTTCGCGGATGAAAGTAGATGTTCGCGGGTGATTGCAGATGTTCGCGGATAAAAGCAGATAATTGCGGGGGTGCACTAACCGGATGAAATCAGGCGTTCGCAGATAAAAGCATGTTTGTGGGTGAAACCGTATGAAAACAGATGTTTGCGGATAAAACTAGACGTTTGCGGATGAAAGCAGATGTTCGCGGGTGATTGCAGATGTTCGCGGGTGATTGCAGATGTTTGCGGGTGATTGCAGATGTTCGCGGATAAAAGCAGTTGTTCGCGGGTGACTGCAGATGTTCGCGGATGAAAGCAGATGTTCGCGGATAAAAGCAGATATTGGCGGATAAAATCAGATGTTCGCGGATGAAAGCAGATGTTCGCGGATGATTGCAGATGTTCGCGGGTAAAAGCATATGCTCGCGGATAAAACCAGGCGTTTGCAGATAAAACCCGACAAAAATAGACCAAAAAAATGCAGGTAATCGCGGATAAAAACAGACGTAAGCAGACGTTTGCAGATGATTCCGGACAAATTCAGATATAAACGAAACACAGTGAAGACGGTTAAAAACAGATGATTGCAGATGATTGCGGGGGTGCACTAACCGGACATAAAACACAACCAACCGGGTGTTCGCGGATATAGCGATGCGGACAAAAGCAGATGTTATCAGATGATATTTTTACCCGCTTTTATCTGCTTTTATCCGGCTTCGACGAAGAATTTATACCCGCAATCATCTGCTTTTATCCGGTTTTGACGAAGAATTTATATCCGCAATCATCCGTCATTTTCAGCAGGGTAACCTGTCTCGGGTTGTTTAAATAATTAAATATGGAATCGAATAATTAAAGATTTTTTTTAAATTGCCAACTTTTTTTCATTGTAGGCGACAATTTGGTTTAGCCTATAGGCAGCATTTGTAAGTTCGCCTTTGCATGCGTGTAAAGCGTATTTCGTATTTAATAGTAATAAAAAATAGTTTAAATAAGTCTTCTTTAATTTATTTTCTAACAATCCGTAAACAGGTTTCAATAAAAATCCAAGTTTTCTCCTCATTTTACTTTTTTCCTGTTTTATATAATTTTAATTTTTCAAATTATTTACATTAACTTAAATTTTAATGGACTAAAATAATGTTTTGTTATTTAATTAAATCATTTAATTACTTTGACTTTTAAACGAGCATAATGTATTTATACTTACTTACAAACAAATTCAATTTAACAGCATAATAACATTATATATGGAGAAATAACATAACATTATTACTATATATTTTAATCATACAGCAAAAGATTTTTAAACGTATCGTTTAATAAAATAATTTTATTATAATAATTAAAAAATCTACGTTTGTATATCGAAAATCAAACTTGCTTCAAATGGATTGGATACAGACTGTACAATGCAGTATATTAGTATTAAATTATATAAAATATTTTACATAATATAAATTTTAATGGCAACAAAAACAATTATAGTTTCAATAATAACGAGTCACGAATTCGGTTAATTGTTCTTTTCGGCAATAATAATTTAAAGGAATTTCAAATCATAATGCACCCACTTCAACCACGCCCAAGACATTTCAAATAACATACAAAATGAGTATCCTTAAGAAGAACATGTCGTGAAAAGATAAATAAAAATCGTGTTAACACAGATTAAAGATAAATTTCACAAATAATATAATATATCTACACAACAGAAACAGAAAGTTTTTAACTTGCTAAATCAAAATTTAACCTTAGAATTGCTAATAACATCAGGTTTTCAAGAAATTCTAACACAAAAAGGGACTTATTTTTGTAAAGTACGTAGGTACCTAATTTAAGAATTTTCTTGCCTAAAACAAAAAAACTTTACCTATTTTTATAAACTTTGCAACCTAAAATCCCATATCTGGATACATTCAAGGTATTTTTCTCCACAAAACTGGTTATGTTACGGTTTAGGTAAAATTTGATTCAACGTTTAAAGAGGAAGAGTAACTTACTTGTTATGTCATCTAAAAGTACTTACTCTGACCAGTTTTGCATTTGCGTTAAGTTTTTAAATGTATTTTTTCTACTCCCACCTTTATTGTACATGTTTCCATGTCACTAAGTGACCTTTTAAATACACATTGAAAAGTTGTGGCTTTATAGCGCTTTAGTCACGGTCTGAAGTTAGCAACAGGTTTTTAGTCACGGGCTGAAGTTAGTTTTAAGTTAGTTGACAGTTGTCAAATGTCAAACAATCGTTAAAATAAAGTGCCTTTCTTGTAAAATAATACTAAATGTAAAAATTATTTTATTATCTCAATACAAAAATACAAAAGTAATAAATAGTTTCTCAACGCCAATATTTGAAAAGTTTATATGTACATTTTACTGACCTCTTAATTTCGCCGGCAGTAAACTATAACTTATATTCGGGCACGGACTCCACTGTAAAGTCCTCATAAAACCTTTTCTTTACTTTCACTGTGGAAAACTGTCAATTTTCAAGAAATACATTTCGATTTATGACCTTTATAATCTGTTTATAAAATGTAAAAATGTGTCATTTGACGGTGACACACAGATTCCCCTATTGTTTCATAGATGGCGCTCTATACAAATTTTTGATTTAAATCATTTTAAGTTAATAATAAGTATTTATCGTAGAAAAAGTATAGTATGCACCTCGTTTATAAACTTTTCTATACACTCATCAATTTAAGCACTCGCTCGCAAGCTCGCTCGTGCCTAAATTAAATTCGTGTATAAAATGGCGTTTATCAAACTTGATACATAATATACTATTATTCTACAAATACTAACTTATACATCTGGTTTACTTAGGTATGCTGTAGGCAGTGCAGTAATGTACATAAATAGGATAAAATATATATCTCATATATCGTGATAATATACCAGCGCATTAAAAACCTTAGGAAAGGTATAGTCTGGCAACAGAATTTTTGTAGAATTATATATTTATTATTTTCCGAATCAAAACTAAATTCATTTCCTTGTTTCAGGTTCTCATCTGCACATTATTTCTCTTAGTGGGTTGTTTTGGAAAGGAAAAAAATTCAAACGAACTGACAAATCTGCAACCAGTTTTAAATTTAGATAGCAACTTACGTAAAGCTTTACTAAAGGCACTCACAGAACTGGAAAATGAAGAAAACGAAAGGGATTTTAAGGACGGCAGTGATAAAATAATTACAAGGGCGCAAGCTTCTGCTGTATCCTATATTGAAACAGAAGATGGAGAGCAAGAACAAGAAGAAGAAAAAGACGCCGTAGTAACAACTGAAAAAATAGAAGACGTAGTAACCACAACCGAGAAAACTGAAGTTTTGGTACAACGTAGTAAAGATTTACCATCGAATGTAATAACGACGTTCGAACATAGCGATGTTGATCCTGTTGTGGATGCAGAGCAGATTTTAACGAGTGCTAGTAGCAGTATTATTTTAAATAACGGTAAAGTTTTGCACGAAAAAAGGCAAGAGTCGAGTTTATTAAAAAACAAAATTCCTTCGGAAAAAGCTTCAGTTGCCACGACTCCAATTGTAACAAGTACGACACCTTTGCCAACATCAACAGAAGAAAGTGAGGCCAAAGTTGAAGACGTTCAGTTTTATAATGCTCCTCTAGTGGCTGCTTTTACCGTACACCAAGACGAAAGAGGTTTACCAAAACTGGTCGAGCCAATTTACAAAAACCAAAAATCGATCAACAGAAACCCAACTAACGCCGAACTTAAAATAATTCAACAGACCCAAATTAGAGAAGATGAGTTACGCGGGCGCCAATTGGCTGAACAGCAAAACTTAAGACAATTTGATCTACAGCGCAAACAAAAAGCATTGGAAGAAGAAATCGAAAGGTTAAAACTGATTCAGCAACAGCAAGTTTTGTACTTGAGACAACAATACCAAAAGGAAAAGTTATTGGAGGAGGAGTTCAGACTTCGCAATGCCGGACGATCTCTAAACAACAATAAGAACCAGGTCTCAAATAATATTAACACCATTCAAACACAAACCGAAAAAAATACATTAACACCAACTCCCCTTTTTGCAAATAAAAATCAGAATCCCGCCGTATCTGTTCATCCAAGTATTGAATTCAATCCTTCCCCCAAAACAGATAGATTACAACAAAATCCAAGCATCGGATTCAATGCTTTAACAGAAGCAGGAAGATTACCGCAAAACGGTCAAGTTTTACCCATCAAAAATGCGAATAATTTCCATTTACCCCTAGTTCAATCTCCAAACTTCCTACAATTCCCATCACTGCCTCTTCAAAACGTTCAACCCATCAGAAATTTCCAACCACTTATTTTTGATAATATCCCCCAAATTTCTTTCACTACCCCCCTTACTCCAAATTTAAGAGTATTTAGGCAAGAATCCCATGCAGGCAACTTCCTAAACCAAAACAACCAAAACCTAAATAGCATTGGTTCGTCATTTACAATTCAGAAATCCATTCAACCTCAGTCCCAACAGCAACAACAATTGCAACAGCAACAATCGCAACAACAAAATCTTCAACAACAATTGAATCAACAATTACAGCAACAACTAAATCAACAACAAGACAACAGATTTAGATCAAATTTCCAGTCGTTTAACAATCCCAACTCCTTTAACATTGTACAGTCGACACAACCTTTTATCCCTGTCAATAATTTTAACACCCAACCTATCCAACAACAACACAGGTTCTTTAGATCCAATCTAGAAGGTACGCACGCTTCGCCCAATTCTTTTAATCAACAAGCTGTTGACAGACACTTGCATAATTTATTGTATAATTCCGGTATTATTAGAGGCAATGAACAAGAGCACCTTGGAATTATTTCGAAAGTTTTAACGCTAAACCACAACGGAGTTCATGCCGCCCAAAAAAGAGTAAACAATCAAGGAATATAAGCGTAGATAGTTGCCTATTTATTGGTTAAAAAACAAGTCATTATTTTAAATAGATTTAAAACAGACTGTATATAAGTATAAAGAACATAGGTTATAAATCGACTTTATTATTTAATTTTAAATTTTTATGAAAATCTATTTTTATTGTGGTGTTGTCGAGTTAAAATAGTTTTGGTGTTCATTCTTCTGGAAAAAAGTTATTAAAAGTGATTTTGTTACTTATATTTTTAAGAAAATAATGCTAGTTTAAATTATTTACTACACACTACATTAAGTTTAAATATATCGTCGTTCAAAATACGTAAAGGGGTATCAGGTTTTTTGTTCAAAGCAAAAATATGTTTACCTGTATTATTTAATTTTGTAGTTGTAGAATTGTAGGATATATCGGCCGTTTCATAAATAACTCAACGCCTAGGAAGGGTCAAGTCATAAATGTTTCTGATTTTTTAATATCTTTTTAAGTTTGGTTAGTAAAGCCACAAGGCACAAAAAATATTTTTTCAATAAACTAAGTCGGTTTGAATTTTTTGCTATTTTATTTTTTGGAACAAAATGACCACTATAAAATTGTAAGAAAAAACTCAATAAAATACTTAAGAAATTTAACAAAAAACTTCATTTATACAGCTTTATTTAAATAAACAAAAAGAAAATCCTAATTGTAATCGTAATTTTTTTGAAAAAAAATATCACCCCCTATGGTCTGCCCTTTTCTAAAGATTTCCGTTTTGTTTCGTGAGGGGCGTTTTTTTGTTGCTAAGATATCGAATTTTAAAGAGCACGATGAACCCCTTTAAACAAATGGAGTGTTTAGAGATGTAAGGTGTCAAAAATGACAGATGACAAAAATAGCTCATCAACAGGTGTTGACAAGTGAGTCCCCTGTCATTTTTGCCATCTGAGGTGACAGAAGTACAAAAATGAGAGACGTAAAAAATTATTGATAACTGACATCGGTTGTTATAGCTCATTCTTGTCATCTGTAATTTTTGACATCTTAAATCTCTAAACGCTCATTTTTTTCAAATCGCGGTTCATCGCGTTTTTCAAAAATCTATATATCTCGGCAACAATGGAAACAAAAATCTTTGGAAAAGATTGGGTTGAGATGATATCTTTTTCAAAAAAATTATATTAAAAATATATTAAATGCCTTATTTTCACGATTTTCTTTTTGTTTATTTAAAAAAGCTGTATAAATTAAGTTATTTGATAATCTTTTATTATTATTAATAGTTTACGAGATTTTCTTGATTTCATGTGGTAATTTTGTCCCAAAAAATAAAAAATACAAAAATTCAAACCGTCAGTTTTTTTTTAATATTTTTTTTTCAAATTTATTTGTGCCATGTGGGTATACTAACAGAACTTAAAAACATAATCAAAAATCAGAAACTTTCATGACTTGACCCCTCTTAGGTTATTTATGGGTCGGCTGATATACCTTCCGCCTGACTTATTTTAAAAGATACTTTACAGTAACTGTTGCATGTAACCAACGTTAATCAGTATTTTACACTTGAAGTTTAAACCCCATTATCTTCTATGTTGTTTTAATTATTTATTGTATTAATAATATACATAGTTATATGTTCGTTTTATAAATAAAATATTTTTTATTATTTGTTGTTTGATTTTTTAGAATACTGCTAAATTAGCATTAGGAAGTGAGTGGAAGATGTATTGAAGCACACAAATGTATAAGCATTGGGAAACATTATAATTTTCTTTTATTTGTTCCAAGTTAGGTGATTTTTCACTCTGGTAACACAAGTAACCATTGTTGGAGTATGTGGGGATAATAATCAAATTAAATAAAATTACTCAAAATGTATAATTGTTATTACTATAAATAAACAAAATAATAAACTTTTCCTAAAATTGGCTTAAAATCAATTAAAGCCAAAATATAAGGACTCCTTAATGCACTTTTAATTTTTCTTATTTTATTTTAAAATGAGTTTGATATAAGAAAATCTAAAAGGCGTAATATAATAAATATGGATGTAGTTAGCATACAATATAACTTAACACATTGAAAAAAAATATTCATAATTATATACTTACCATTACTAATATCTTGTTACTAATATAAGCCTAGTCTATACATGTTCGTTCTTGGAATTAAAAGAATTAAATTAATTATTCGCTACAATAGCAAAAAAAAATAATAAAAATTGGAATATAATTAACTTCTAGTTGTATGCTTAAAAGTCATATCAGACACACGGCTCAACGTAATTTCCAGGGAAAAGACCAGTTATACCGTCCATAACGCCCTCCCACCATCCGTCGTCATTTTTCTTTAACACATAGATAACTGAGCTTTCTTGGAAACTTAGTTCGTCATCTTTATCAGCGTAGTAATCGTAAATCGCAACGACTGAAAAAAATAAGATAATTTGGTAACAGAATATAATGAGTACCTATTAAGGGTTTTTATTTTATATTAATAGTTTTTGGTATATTACATTTTTTTTACGTGCAATGTTTCTTTTGATTTTTCTTAGCGAGTTATATATGAAGGCAAAAAACATATTTTCTTTAAGTTTTTTTAATATAATAAAATAATTATTTTATTAAAACTTTTAAGAATATAAAAGAACATTTAAACTACTTTTTAAAACAATTTCACTAACAATTTTGGAAAATTCAGCGGTTAAGAACTTAAAAAAGAATGTTTTCGCGGTAGGCAGGATAATAACACTGTGGGGAATTGAAAAAGACACACGAAAATGCCGGGACACATAAACTTAATTTTCGATAGAGGCAGATACAATTTATTTATGTTTTTTTTTTATTTTTAGCCAATTTGATTGATTTTTCTTGATTTTTTTCTTTTAAATTTATTTTGAACCGTGCAAGGGTTCGGCCGTAACAACCATATTTATTTAAACCCGAAAATTATGATGCTCTGTGTTTTAATACATTTTAAAGATTTCAACGATGCGAAACTAACTAACAAATAATAATATAAACTGTGTCCCCTGGGGTTGCCAATAGGAAAAACCAAGAGAAACACTTTTTTATTAGGTAACCGTTTTACCCGGTATCGGTATGTATAGGATCCATAGTTGGGATTTGTGGTTGTTCTATAGGGATATCCACCCTTGATTTATTTGCTATTGGTTTCAATGGGGAAAATACACATAAATGTAGAAATTAATTTTTAGGTTTTAATAAAATTTTGTCAAATGTTTTGTAGTTGCTCTATAGGGATATCCCTATATATCCTTCATTGAGTTATTTGCTATCGGTCTCAATAGGGAAAATGTAAAAGTTATGGTGTGCCTATAGGTAATTTTCCATAAATTTTCTATCGGGCCCTATCCGGAAAAAACCATGGACAAATGCACATATTGAATCCGGTAGCGCCCGATCGATTATGTGTCAAAAGTCCCAAGCAAAACAGTTTGTCTCAATTAACTTGAGAACTACTAGTCCTACGTAAATTTATAACGTAATTTTTAACCATTTATATACAAATTTATTATTACCAAAATTTACGTGAAATTAATGGTTTATAAGATAATTAAGAAAAACTGTTTTTTGCCACTCTTGACTAAAATGCAGAAAATTAAAAAAACATGTTTTCACATTGATTTTAAAAGACATGTTTTTATATTAAAAACTGTCATGGGGCAGGGGCCAGGTTAATATTAATATTTAACTATTTATTTAATTATTTAAAACTGATTTAGGACACTATTGTAAAAAAAATTCGAAAAAAAAACAAAATTAGGACCACCCTAATATACATATTAGGGAGATTTAAAAAAATCAAATATTTTTATTACTTCCGACACTGAAAAATTGGTTCTTAGACACCTCTAGAAAGTGCTCACCAAATTTGAGCTCTTAATATTAATAGTAAGATCCTCCTCATCACAGTTTTTCATTTTTTCTTTAGTCCCTTATAAAAAAGATCATATTTCATTATTAATCAATCGTTTAATCAAAACTTTATACATATTTTTTTAGGAAATTGAATGCTCTACAAAAAATTATGTTTAAGCGATTACTCTAACCATTTAAAAGATATTCAAGATCAAAGTTTATAGAATTTATAAAAAAAAAAATTAAAATAATTTTGTGACCAATTGAAAAATAATTATTGTAAAATAAGTATGACATATTTTTGTAGGAAATTTAACGCTCTACAAAAAAAGTATGATGTGTTTAATTGATTACTCTAACCATTGAGAAGATATTCGTAAAATCTTGCCAACGGTTAGAGTAATCAATTAAATACATCAGACCTTTTTTGTACAAATATATGTTATACTCATAATCATTATTTTCCAATGAGTTAAATAATTATGAAAAAAAATGTTTTAAACAATTTCTTCAAACTTTGATCTTGAATATTTTTTAAATGGTCAGAATAATCGCTTAAACACATTAGTCCTCTTTGTAGAGCATTCAATTTCCTACTAAAATATGTAAAAAGATTTGATTAATTAATAATGAAATATGGACTTTTTTATAAGGGACTAAAGAAAAAATGGAAAACTGTGATTAGGAGGATCTTTCTATTAATATTAAGAGCTCAAATTTGGTGAGCACTTTCTAGGTGCCTAAGAACCAATTTTTCAGTGTCGGAAGTAAACAAAAATATTCTATTTTTTTAATCACCCTATTACATAATATGTAATTATATTATATCCAAAAATTGTTCTTGAATAACTAACTGTATGGATAAAAGTGTGGTACATAGAGAATTGTTTAAATGGTGTAAAAATTTTGAAGAAAGGTAGGAATAAAAGGGAAATATATTAAAAAATAAATTCAGAATTATTATTTAAATTACTGACCTTTTTCAATGTAATTCTTGGGTACCCATCCAGGTAAGTCTTCCTCGTCAGGTACAATAGGCATGACCCCGGACGTGCGAGGTCTACCAAACGACTCGTGCTCGTCGTGTTCCGGTGGCGGTGGAGGCGGCAGGGGCGGCGATTGAGAACCGCCGCCGCCTCTACCCAACGAAGAGGCCAGCTGCTGCGAGATACGATGACCCTGCGCATGGGATAGTGTGTGCATGCCGAGGCTACCGTGCGGTACGGGGTTGTGGTGACCGCCCATCATCATTGGGTGATGATGGTTTGAAGATAATACCATTTCTTGGCTGTTGACCAGTGGAGATGGCGGAGCTAAATAATAAAAAAAGATAAAATAGGATGCAACATCCGATTTTTACAACAACAAAAAACATGAACTTGTAATCATAAAACACGCTATAGAAGTAAAACTTCTTCGCAGTATTCACAATCAAACCAGGAATGGTATTATTTAACTTGTTGAAATTATTTTCAATAAGAATACCACCTGTGGAATATTTAATTTCTAATTGGGGCAGTTTTCAATTACCCAAAACATTAATTTTAATGTGCAATTTTCAATAACTTGGTTTTAAATAAATTAAATGTAAGCATAGTTTTGAAGTATTTCATTTAATTCAATTTTGGGCATTATTCTACATTGATTTTAATGTGTAGTTTTGATTATAATATTACCTGGTTTTAAATAACTGTACCCCAAAACTGTATTAATTTTTTTTCATGTTTTTTCCCTACAATTGTCTGCTCTTTCCAATGGTAAACCGAATCAAGTCCTGACTTACTTAGTTTTTGATATAACAGTGTAAAAATGCTATAAGTCCACACCTTGCTTAGGGCCAAATAGTGCAATCAGCAATGCAAGAAGGATGCAGCTCCAATTTTTGCACAAATTAAGCTTGTGCGCCCATTCTAGGCTACAAAATGTTCTCTATGGTTTGGTACAAAATCGATCCAAATAACAGTTATGCTTAACAATAAAAATGCAAAATACGCCACTTGGCGATTGGAGCGTAGATCCAGGGGCTACGTCTGTCTTGCCCCAAACGCGTATTAGTGTGGATATTGGGTATACTGATATCTCAGTTAGAAATGACATTAATTAGACAAGTTTTGCGCAAGCAGAGTTTAAATTGAAGTTTGCAAAAAAAGTTAGTTTTTCAGAGCGCCTCACCAGTCCCCTAATTAAGATTATTCAAATTAAAGTGGTGCAATTCATAATTCACTAAATTTTATCGTCAAATTTCAAAACTTATTTAAAAAATGTAAGAATTACAGATTTCATACGATTTTATTATTCTTTTAACTAAAATTTAAGAATATATCATCAAAATTACCCTTAAAAAAATTTTAATATTACAACGTAATGCTATTAGCAAGACAATAATACTTTTCCAAAAATAATTGACCTGTTTATGAAAATCAAACATTCTACCAAGCTGATGATAACGGTGTAGTCGAATATACTGACGATGATGAAAATGAATAAATATAATCATATTACCACAATCCACACAACAAGGTCTGTTCGATCTCATAGTAAAAATAAAAAAATCACTGCAACACTGCACATCATACAATGGCGGCCATTTTTGATGTTTACAATAATAATAATAATAATATTGCCTTTATTTAGTAAAGAATGGGCGAAGTTTAGCTACAGCTACAATTCTTGTGCTTTGGGTTTGTACAGATTAATAATCGTTGTAAACGTTGTGTTTCTTACAGAGAGACTTGCAAGCCTTAAAAGAGACTTCAAAGTGGTAAGAACAATCATTTTATTTCTCTTTTGTAAAAAATAAACCTTATTCCATCAGGGCTGTCAAATGTCAATTTGAAGGTTATTTTATAACCCACAAATTAGCCTTCAAATTGACATTTGACAGCCCTGATAGACGAAGGTTTATTTTTTACAAAAAAAGGGTAAAATGATTGTTCTTACCACTTTGAGGTCTCTTTTAAGACTTGCAAGTCTCTCTGTAAGAAACACAACGTTTAAAACGATTATTAATCTGTACAAACCCAAAGCACAAGAATTGTAAACAACAAAAATGGCCGCCATTGTATGATGTACAGTGTTGCAGTGATTTTTAGTATCTTTAGTACGAGATCAAACAGACCTTGTTGTGTGGATTGTGTATATTACTAAAAAAAATATGTAATAAATAAACTGAAAAATGTTTCTAGGATGATTTATTTTTTTATATTTTTATAAAAATTGTGATAAATAAACTAAAAAATGTTTTTAGAATGTTTTCTTATTTTTGAAATTAAGTATAAATTATAATTTTGCATCGCTGGGGCAAGAAGGAGGTAGCTTCGGTAAACAAATCAGAATTATGTGATTTGTGTTTAATTTTTTTTACAAGATTTTCAGACCTTATTACTCTTATAGTAGGTAAATACTTTTGTTAGGTAAAACTAAAAATTGCATTGAAATAAATATTTAGAACGTTTTTTTCGTTTTTCTCAGAATATATATTTTTGGAGCTCCATCCTTCTTCCAGCAAGGTCTTCAATTGCTATTTTTTGGTTTTAAGACATGTACAGTTTTATGTGGTCCCATAATAATGTTTGGCGAGATTGAACTGTATAATAATATTAAGTTTATTTTTTGTGGGATTTAATATAATTTATATTAAATTATTTTAGAGCTATATAATTTTATGTCCAGTTGTCAAGTATCAAGTCAAATTTTTGTTTTATTAAGTCAACCCCTGTTTAGCAAATTTTGGTAATAAGTCACTTAAATATTAGGTTCATCATCAAAGCCATATATACTGCTATGGTGTATAAACTATTACTTTCAGAAATAAAACAATTCTTTTTTAATTAATTAATTAATCAATCTCTTCTGGTTGAACGCGTTTTCAACCTTCTCCTGAACAATTTCAAAACTGTGTTCTGGGGTACAAAAATTAAAGGTATTGGCAGATTAATTTTGCAATTTTGTTTGAAATTACTCAAAACATTAATTTTAATGTGCAGTTTTTAATTACCTTGTTTAAAATAAATTAAAGTTTTCAATTATTACCATTATTATTTAAATCACACAGTTAAAACTTTATACCCAACAGGGTGAATAAAAGTGAATAAAATTGTTTTTCTGTGTGGGTAACAAAGTAAGGTTCTTGAAATTTAGAAGCTTGTTCATATAGAAAATAGCAAATAATTCAAAACAGAACCTGCAGAACAAACTTTATTTAAAAAAATTTCCCCCATAACCAAATTATTAAAATAAATAAACAAAACCACAAGGCCATACAGCGGGTTTTTTAATTTATCTTATTATTATTCTTTTTCAAATTCAGTGCAATTTTTTACAGAAAAACATAGTGTTTTATTAACTGGACATTTTGGATAAAATTAAGAAAATCTCTTACTTAATTAAACGTTCTTAATATAAACTTACGTGGCATATGATGATCACGTTCCGAATAAACGGAATTTCCAGGTGGTGGAGGAGGAGGCGGCGTTTGTGGCTGAATAACTTGCTGTTGTTGTGTTATGGGGTGTACCATGCCCACTTGCGGTGCATTCTGATGCTGCTGCATCGGCATGGGCAAGGTGCTGTAGCCTGGACCCCTCTCGCCAGAGCGACGCGGGTTGCCTATAGGATAATTGGGGGCATAGTGACTTGGCACCTGAGGCGGTGCAACTGCTGGTGGAGTACGGTACTCTCTACTACCTTTGCTTAGAGTGCCACCGCTAACCGAAACTATAAGAAAGTATAAATTTTATAATGGATAAACTTGTTTATAAAGTTTTTTAGAATACCAACATTTTACAAAAACGTAAATTTGAATAATTTTATCAATGTGGATTTTAGGGTTAGTAATAATCGTGTTTTTGCATTAAAACACAAAGACTATTTAAAACCAAAAGTCCGCATATAAGAAAATTAAATAAAAACAATGGGATAAATGATTCCACAAAAATGTTCTGGTTTTGGGAGATGTTCGCTTATGGGTGATTCTACTGAGAGTGTCCGATATTGCCATCAATTTTGTTTTTCCTAAATAGTTTAAAAACTGAATTTAAATCACTCCATTGGCTTCTGAAGGCCCATTTAAAAGCCTTACCACGAAAGGCCGAGATCGTTTTAGCAATTTAAGGCTTTTTTTTCAACATTTAATTTTTAAGAGAACCATGTAGTTGACCAGTGTCTAGAAAGTTGACAAAGATTAATAAAATTGGTCGTTCGAAACAAAAAACCTTAAGAATTAAAATTTTGAATTTGAAAGGTTCTAGTACAAAATAACAATTCCACTTGTTCAGTAAAAAAAAATAAAAAAAAACATACTTTTTATGTTTTTATTTAACAAAAAAGTTTTTCTAATGTAATACAGTTCGCATATATAGCATAAAAGTACAAATTCAGGTAGTATGTAAGGAACTAAAGAAAATCATTAAATAAATAACTATCTGCCTAGATAAGGTTTAAACATAAACAAAAAAAACCTAATGCAACTAATTAAGTACTATCACATTATATCACTTTAATGAACTTAAGCACGTGAACGATCCCAAAGACTTAACATTAAACTCGAAGACCCCTCTTCTGTGCGCTATTGGTTGACCAACATTAATTTTTAAGAATTTTAAAGGAACTTTTTCCACGTCATCCTGCTCGGGCCACACAAATAGCAAGTCGGATTTTCTCGATGAAATTTTTTTCATAAATTTCAACTCCGCTTCTCCAGTGTTAATGGAAAGTATCTGACCAATATAAAAGACCTATAAGAATAAAATGTCAGTAAAAAAAAGAGAATAATATGTACTTTTTACATTTGATTCACATGGCCACTCTGCAACAACAAAATTGTTTATTTTCATTGAAGACGTGAAATTTTTGGATATATATTTTTCCTCGCAATCCTCGCTCAGTTCATTTGATGAAGAATCTGAATAGATTTCGTGATAATTAAATTTATCTTCCACTTTAAAATTAATAGTTCCAATATGAAAATGGATACACTCCGCGTCGAAGCCACATTCAAAACAACTAAGTCGTCTAGCATTTATTGAATATCGTCTGCTTTGTGTCCATACTAGTTGATGAACTTTTAATGTGCCTGTGAATGCTTTTAAGTCCTTTGGAACAATGTTCCATTTATCAATATCCTCAGTTCTTATGCAATGTAAATCAACATTTGGACACTTTTTTTGAATTTCTGAATGAAAAATTTTCATATCGGTAATATCTTTGCCACACGCTACCAGCTGGTCAGCCGAGCGCTTAATGGTGCCACCAACTCCGTCTACAGCACCTTTTCCATGCCCCGCTTCTGAAAAGTTCCACGACATCTGTTCCACATTTAAAATTTTACTGATCTGTTTTCCAAACAACCAGAACATAGATTTATTTCGGTATTGCGTACTAGGTCCATCACTGATAAAGTGAATTTTTTTAAGACCATGGGGGAAAGTTTTTTTAATTTCTAAAAAAACTGGCTGCAAATGAGCCATTATCGCCAGTGGACTATGCCTCAAATCTTCTGATAGAGTGCACATTGCTTTATGCTCTAAAATTCGGTCTCTATTGAAATAGAACACTATAGTGTGCAAGGATATTTGGCATTTTGATCCGCCAAAGTGCGCATTTTGAATTTCTCTGAAATACTTGGTGTTGTAATTTTCCGAGAAATCTATGTGAAGAATAACTTCATCAGGTTTTAATTCTTTTTTTAACCGTCTTATCGCTTCCTGCTGGTTAATTATGTTGGCTAGGTGGGTCATGTATTTTTTTAGAGAGTTTTCTAACTCAGATTTTAATTCACATTTTTTAACAAACTTTTCTTCTTTAACAGTTCTTGAGCAAAGCTTCTCTTGATCTTTAATTTTTATTTTTTCTGTTTTAGTAACCCACTTTTTATAAGTACAAATTTCATTCCCCTTAAATTCTTCAAAATGTATGTTTCTGCTTTGACATTTTACACATGACCTTTCCAAACAACACCTTGTCAAGTCGCAACAAATTTTTTTAACCAAATCATCAAGGCTTACATAGTCAATCATTTTCAATATTTTTAATTTAGAAAACAGCAGGTGCATATTTTCGTGTGTTGTGCACAAGCATGTCTCTCTCTTTTCTACTTTAGGTATAACGACCCAAAAGGGTCTTGTTTTGCAGAAATAGGCATATGATATTTTTGTAGAAGGATTTTCTGAGCAAAATTTTATGTATAAATTTTTTAATGTATCACAAAGGTATCTCAGCTGTTTTTTCTCTTTTTTAAATGTTCGGCTTTCTTTTTTTCCTGCTCCCATCCTACTTACAGAATCCAATTCATAAAAATCTATCACTTTTTGTCTAAGAATATCGCGATTTGTTACTCTTTTTTTAATACTTCTAAATCTGCTTTTTCCAACAATTGATTGTATTTTGTCAGAAAATTTATATTTTTTTATTAATTTACCTCCGACATTACGCCTAAATATTTGTCTAGAAGTGAAGGACTTAATATTTTTATAGTTTTGTTTGAGTTGGGCCAACACAACTTCGCCGAATAATAATTTTCTCTTAATTTGTCTAGTAACTGTAACATTTTTTAAAGATTTTTTTACAATACTATTTGGAGATTTTTTTTTTACAGTCATTTGATTTTTTAGTCTATAATATTTTTTTTTATACTTTTCAAATTTGCGCACATAATTATCTTTTTCTCTTTCTGTCTTTTTTAATTGTCGGTAAAGTCTACTCCTGTTCCTCTTTACCCTTTTCCTTCCACTGGCTTGTCTGGATGTCGAAGCTACTGGAGTTTCTAATAGTGTATTTGCAGTCGTTTTAGTATTTTGAATCAGAATTTCTTGTTGTTGCTTATTTCGCGCTCTGGAGTTTCGCTTTGAAACTCTCCAATATTCTCTTTGACTTTTCTTATCTCTTCTGTTCATTTCTTTAATACCTTTTACAACTCCCTTCTCTTTCATTGTTTGCCATCTCTCCCTAGCTTTTGCTTTACTTTGTTCATACTTCTCAGGGTTGTTTCTTATTCTTTCGCGCCTTCTTCTTTCAGCTTCTTTTTTCTGCTGACGTCTTTTCTCATTTTTTTGTTCAATTTCTTTATTAGTTCTTGCCATATCTGTTTGGAAACATTATATTAATTATAAGGTGTCAACTATATGGTCAGTTGTCCACTACATGGACAGACATTGTCCATGTAGTGGGCACCCATGTAGTGGACAAATTTATTTATTTTTTAGAAATATACTAGTAAAAAACGTTTGATGCAATAAAAAGAAAAAAACAACAATCAACTAAGATGAATAAACAAATAAACACAGATTACTTTGATTTAATATTTTTATTAGAAAAAAAAACTTGGCCATTAAGTTGACGTTGCAAAAAGACACGCTCTTACCTTTTGAGGTTATTTGATTCGGGACTTCCACCGGATAAAATATAAACTTTCCCCACTAGCATCTTCCGAACACTGACGCTTGGTTTTACTTTGCGACACCCCCACTATTTTTACATGATTCATTTTTAAATTTATTTCCGCGCGAAAGATTCGGACCATATAGTTGACATGAGAGTTGGGGACAATTTTCTTTTTAATGAGATAAATAGTAATTTTTATTTTTAATCCAAAAATCTCGGTTTTTTTTTAACTTTTACTTTTTATTTGCCTAACAAGAGGAACAAGATCTCTTATATAATTTGCAATGTATTATTTAAGGACTGATATGTACGAAAAAACATGGTTGGGGACAGTCCATGTAGTTGACAAAAAAGGTTTTTGATATTTTTTCTGAAAACCTACTTAATATTAAAATTAAAATTGCTATGGATATAATCCGTCATAGTAATAATCAATCTAAGAAAAAAAAAAGGAAGCAATTATTCTTCATATGAAACCAGATATAATCCAGAGACGCAAAATCGGACACTTTCAGTAGAATCACCCTTATGGAAGCTGTCGGAAAGGAGTTTTCACATTATACCATATTTAGAAATGTAAAAAATGGTATTCTTCAGATGAACCGCTAATACAGTATATTCTGTCAATAATTAACATTGATATCTACTCTAATCCTATTCTACATATACGTAAATAATAATTCGGTCCAATTTTAGCTCTTAACATTTATTTTTTGAACTGACACAACTTTAACGACTCGTTAAAGTTTTTCCAATAAAAAGCATATTTTCATTTGATTTAATAAAAAAAAGTGAATAATTTTTTGTAGAAAATTATATTCTTCTGCAAAAAGGCCTAAAATTAATATTAATATTAAGAGATGTATTTAAAGTCGACAAAATTAAAAATTTTAGCAAAAATTATTTTCATGGTTCTAATTCCACGTTAAACTTTAGGCTTTGCCTATAAGCTGGATAGGTCGATAGAGTAACTACTTATTTTTTTTTTTCATTAAATATTTAAATATTATACAAATTTTAATTATTTTTGGTAGATACAAAATTAGTGGAAGAAACATTATTAATATACTTAAATATTATTTAATTATAAAACCATTAACTGACATTTTGCTAAAATTTTATAATTTGATAACTATTATTTTTTTGTGGAAAACTAAATTTTCTACAAAAAATGTATTTAGGTACTTTTTTTATAGTCAACTGCTAACAAGTTTTTTTCAAAATTTTAAATTATATTTTACTGCTAAATTAAATTTGTATTCTTTGTAAAAAATGGGACAAAAGGCCAAAACTTTGCTTGATTGGATTAGTACATAAAATGTGAAAAAAACGGTTATTATTATACCAAATATTATTTTAATGTTTTATTTTTATAAATAAAAAAATTATCTACTATTATATAATTTTTTCCTTATACAGTGTCTCTACATATAGAAAACTTTTATATTATTGATTTTACAAAAAAAAATTACTCCTTATAAAAATTAGAAGTACCCTTGAATTTTATTTTTTAGCAAAATAACATAAAGAAATAGTTATGTCAACTTTAAATTCATGGCTTCCTATTATAAAATTCTTGATATTTAAAAAAATACTAATAAATATTTACCTTAAATATGCAATGTAAGCCAATATCCATTTATAATGACATGATAAAATTGGAGTAAATAAAGTATATATACACTCTAGATTATATAATAAACTATTATATCTTGACTTAAAAAATAACATTACGTCACCCTAATATAACAAGGTTGTATGTTAAAAAAACGAAAAATTTAAGTCTATGTTTCTACAGGATTATACGTGGCCTACGCTTCACATACCACTTAAAAATAATTCTATAGAATGTATATTCTATGTATACATATATATATATATAGAGTTATTTTTAAGTTGTATGTCAAGGGTGGATTACATAAAACCTTGTAGAAGCATAAACTCAAATTTTTCGGTTTTTTAACATACAACCTTGATCTATTAGGGTGACGATTAGGTACAATGGGGGACATGGAATTTCAAATTATCATTCTGTTGACATCAAAATCAAAACTGCCTTTATGGACAACTAACCTTACTTCCCATTATCATTATTCTTGTCATTATGACAGCAAAAGCAAAATTGGTCATTATTGTATCTTTGCTATTTACAGACTCCATCAAGGATGACTAAATTGTCTTGCTTAAAATTCTGTGTACACCACTGAATTAAAATCGTAATTTTAATTAACTGATATAAATCCTAATGTTTTTATTAATATTCAATATAATCTGATTTCCAAAAAAATCCAATAGTGAATTTTTGTACTTTTCTCACATTTCCTGTAAACCTTGTTATCTGTTTACCTTGTCATTATTATTTTACCTACTTATCATTTTTTTAACTTATTGTCATTTTAGCTTGCCATTATTTCTGCTTTTTATTATTTAAGTTGAACTTAAGATTGTTAATTTATTATCTTATTGCCACCTTAACTTAAGGTAATTTCCATAATTTTTCCGCGTAATTCCTGTACCAATAGGGTAAAAGACATTTTAGCTTGATGCCACTTTACCTAGTTAATTGTTAATTAATATTTGATATTATTTGTATTTAAACTTAAGGTCATTTAACCAAATCTTTACTTTAGCTTATCATCATTTAAAATTATTTTAACATCATTTCATCAGGTTACAGCTTGTTTTTAGCTTGTATGCCATACAAATTGTATAATACAATATAGGGTGACTTATTTGAAATGCAAAAAAGAAAAACTAAATTAACACTTCCAGGTTTTAAAATCAATTAAAAAAAATAAAAATTAGTAGGTTCAAAATTGAGGACTTTTTGAATAAAATGTTTGAATTTTTAATGAACACCAAAAAGATTTTTAAAAGAATAATTTAGTTAACCTTTACTGTTTGTTCGAGACACTTGTGGTGGAGTTGGTGGTTTAGTGGTAGGAGCTGGCCCAACAAGAGAGTTAGCCTGAATAGCATTAATTGAGTGGATACTTCCCGAACTAGAACCTCTTTGCTTCTGCCTTGGTGTACCATTACTTCTAACACCATGACCAATTTCATCATAAACTAAAAGTAAATAAATTGTAAAATAACTTAAAAACCATTAAAAGATATGAAATTACTTGAATAATCTATAGGCTTTCTTAAATATTTAATGGGTTTTTCAGGATTTGCTGGCGCAATAATTTTATACTGTCTGTTTGTTGATTTGTTAGCTGTTAGCACCCCAATCTCCCTCCTAGCAACTTTTTCTTTATGTATCATAACAGTTTGCGAAATATGATTCATCTGACTCTCCATTTCAGCAAGTTGTGCCGTTTGCAAATCTAACAACTGCAAGAAATTGTAAGCCAGTGTGTTAATTTGATAGGCAACACTGGCTAAGGATTGTGTAGTGTAATTTTTTGTTTCCTCTAGTGCCGCTCGTTTATTATCAGTCTGAAAATAATTGGCCTCGCAGTATTCCGCTACTCTCTGTAGATTTGTATGGTTATCCGTTAAATTACTACGCCCTTCTGGTATTTCCGATCGCAATAACGCTGCTAGTTCTGCCATTTCAACGGCTTTATTTTGCGCCTACAATAGTTAGTTGGTTTAAGACTGTATTCATAACAAAATGCACTTATAATACAGTAATTTACCCTATAAATAAATCTGTTGATTCTTTCTATGAATGACAGTGTTTTGACAATTAGATATTTAACAAGGTTAGCCAACTGTTAAGTGGCATATATTGTAAAAGACTTTTACCAACATAAAATTTATTACCAAAAAGACAGAGCCGAACTGAAATAATTCAGTGGCTATGAAATTTATATTACATATAAAATAATTTTTAATATATATTTTTTAATATAAAAATAATATTAAATAAAAATATATAATTAAAATTATTTAAAAATTAATTATTGGATCAAATTAATAAATTATAATTTATTTTAGTATACTATAAAGTTTTTGGTCTTTTATGGTGTCATATTCGAAAAATCGGGTAGTTCCAGCCACTTCTTTAAATTACATGTTTGCCACTTGCAATCAGGGTGTTTATTTTCCACTTTTATGGTAGGTAGGCACTAACCAGTAACTATCGAAATATACTTCAAAGTGACTATTCCTTATAGAGTAACATTTTAAGTGGCAGGGTGGGTCTAGGAACTATACTTTAGGGGCAGTGACATTTAAAAAGGACTGGGAACTATATTTGCTAATTGGGGCCACTAGAGGCGCGCATACGTCCTTATTAGTCTCATGTACACAGTGTTACCTGTTGCTTCCAAATTTTTTCGAACACTTTATTATTTCCGATAGCTGCTATTTATTTTAAAATTGAATTTTCTACAGTTAGTGAAAATTTGGTGTTTAACAAAATTCTTTACAGGTAAGTCGATTTTTCTTTCACGATGTTATTGTTAAGAATATAGAGACCAAAACGGTTTATGATGGAGTTTAAGGTTATATTCTACATAGATATAGGAACTTGTTTACATTTCCCCCGACATTTTTTATGGAAGAGGCAAATGTAAACAATATTTTGGGGAAATTGTAAACAAGTTTTTGGGGAAATTGTAAACGCGAATATTTTTATGTTATTTCCAGCTGATTCATTTTCATTCGGGATTCTGCGTACAAATTTGTTCACAATGGTACGAAATTACATCAGGAAGAGGCCTCTTCTAGAAAGATATTCCGAAGCTGACCTAGTAAACGCAGTGAATGATGTAATAAACCGCAACAAAACCTATAGGGAAGCTGAGGTTGCTTACAATGTTAAATTTCAGTGATTTTTAATAGAATTAAGGGCAGAAAAAATCAGTTGGAAATCACAAATAAAGGTCGTCATTCAGTACTATCTGTAGCTATAGAAAAATGTCTAAAAGCTCGTTCTCGCATGGGTTGGCCTTGCAATATGTACAATCCAAGGGACTTAAAACTCCTTTTAAAAATGACGTACCTGGCTATGACTGGTACGTAAATTTTATGAATCAGAATTCTAAAGACATTTCTCCCAATAGTATTATTTCCCTATTCTCTAGAAATCTAAAAGAAAATATTGAAAAAACCCCGACTTCTAACGGTAGGTACTGAACCTAGAAAAGTGATTCCTCGCTTAAAACAATCCACTTATGGAGAGGTTCTCACAACTAAAGAGATTTTGAAAAAACTTGAAGAAGCTAAAGAGAAAAAGAAAGCTAAGCAGAGTAAGGAGAAAAAAGGCAAACGTTCCAAGAGTAATAAGGTTGACGTTCCCAGGCAGAATATAACTAAAAAGAAGAAGAAACGGGGACCAACAAAGTGCACCAATACATTTGAGAGTGAGAGTGAGTGCGTCGAAGATAATATAACTGATTTAGTAAACGACAACTCAGATGATTACATGTTCCCTCTTGCGACATTTGTGAAACCAATGTTTGTAGACTATCATGAAGTTAAATGGGAAGATATCAAAAGAGACAGCTTCCTTTTGGTCAAATTTATTGGAGGAGCCCGAAAAACAACTACCTACAAATACGTCTGCGTAGTTAAAGAAAAAGACGAAGAAGATGGCGAAATTATTGTTGTGGGATTGCGAGCACTGGACGAGAACTGCTGCAATTTTTTCATAAAGGAGATTGACCAATCCTATATTAAAATGGAGATGGTGGAAGCTATTCTTCCAAACCCTGTGGAAAATTTCAAAAAACGCAAAATTATATATTCATTCCCAGGAAAAGTTGATGTTTATGAAAACCATTGGTACCTCACTCTCTCCTCCGCTTGTCTTTTGTCCTTTGTCCTAAGTATGGCTGCCAGTACTCCTACCATCCTCCATTTCTCTTCACTCTCTAGCATTACGGTGACTATATTGTCTGGCGTCGTGGGGTGTCCTGCATCTTCCCACACGTCTCTTTGCGTGTCCCACTTTGTACACCCGAAGATGGTGTGCTCCACCGTGTCCATCCGTCCGCAGTCCATGCACTCCGGTCCCGCTCTCTTTCCATACTTGTGAAGGGATTCCCCGTAAGCTTCATGTACCGTAAGCATCTGCCTCACGAAGTAGTCCACCTCCCCATGCTTTCTTCCGCATCACCGCTGTATGTACGGGATCAGTATCTTAGTCCACTGCCCCTCATTTCCGCTTTCCCATCGCTCCTGACACTTTTCCAGGTACTTCAGCATAGGTACCGACGTTACTCTGCATCCCCCGATGCTCATCTCCAGCTCTGGCATGGCCCTCTGTCCTGTCTTCTGACAATGTCCACAATATAACCCTATGCCCTCAGCGCAGTCCCCGTTGATCTTCCCGGTCGAAAACTGTACTGCCTAACAGAGAGGTCGCCCCCCGCCACAATCTCCTCCCGCATCCTCTTACAGCTTTCCTGCTGCGTCCAGCAAGCACAATGGTCTGTGCGGGAAAAAAAGTTTTTTTTGTGAACAATATTTTTTTGAAAAAAATTTTATTGTGGGAGAAATATTTTTGTATAGAAAATATTTACTGGAACGTGGTAAATAATTTCTCATACGAAATTTATTTCCTACGTGCTTAAAGTTTTTTTACCATTATTTTACGTTGCCCAAACGGCGCTTCATAAAATCCGACAAAAATGTACGAAAAAAAATGCAGGTAATCGCGGATAAAACCAGGCGTAAGCAGACGTTTGCAGATGATCCCGGACAAATTCAGATATAAACGAAACGCAGTGGCTTCGACGAAGAATTTATATCCGCAATCATCTGCTTTTATCCGGTTTCGAAGAAGAATTTATATCCGCAATCATCCGTCATTTTCAGCAGGGTAATTTTTACTTTAAATGCTGTGTAGCCTTTAAATACGTATTCTTAAAGATTGTTTCAGACATATTCCCAAAAAATGCTGCTGAAATTCGCCGGATTATACCAGTGAAGCAGAGAATATTCCTGAAGGATTCTTTAGGATTCTTTCAGACATATGCCCAAAGAATGCTCCGGGAATGTGCCGGATCATTCCAGATAAGCAGGGAACATTCCTGAAGGATTGTTAGGGATTGTTATTCCCAAAGAATGTTCAGATTTGAAAAGAAATATTAAAAATTTAAAATGGTATAAAATCTGTATAATTTGGATTTTTTAAATGAAATTTAAAATTTATCGATAAACTATGGTAAATAATAAATTGCACCAATTAAATTTATATTATATTTATTGGGGGCGCCATGGGGCAGGTACGGCCGAGCAAAAAGTTATCTTTTTTTCGCAAACTTTAATTTAAATTCTGCTTGCGCAGAACTTCTTTATTTAATGTCATTATAAACTCATATAAATTTGGTGTGGGTCCCAAATCTAATAATTGAGATATCGGTATACCCAAAATCCACCAGCCGCCACTGATAACATGAGTTATTCATGTCATTACAAACAGCGCTCTTCGTCGCTCTTGCGAGAAAATGACGTTTTATGACAAAAATTTTATTATTTTTATATATGAGTATAAGTATAAGAGTCGTATAACCAGCCCCATTGCCTCATCTCCCCGTACGCCGATTTCCGGGCTGGGTGCGAATGTCCACCGCGTCCGGTAGGTACTGTACCATATGTGAGGCTTGAGAGCGACATGCCCGGATTCGCCGGTCCGTTGCTATACGCCCATTAGGAACAAAAGGAGGTGGGGACGGGGGGACATTTTGGTTGCTAGGGGACATTTACGCCAACTCAAATTTGTTGTGTTTTATTTTCCTTGCCGGAGGCTACGGCTTGACCGACACCCTGTCTCCCCCTGTGGATTCCTTGCGACGTTGAAGACGTCCGAGGCAGCTTGTGTTGTTTTCACTCCTACCCAATAGCCGTTTTTGCCCTAGTCGTTTAAGTTTTCGTAAATACTGCCGAGTTAGATTATTGCATTTTCTTCGGAGGGTCTAAAACTTATAGACTATAAGTTTCTAGGTTCCTATGTTTATTTATGTCTCGGTTTGTTTATACACTTTTGTTTAATAAGGAAGGCCTTTTAATGTTATGGATTTTTTTTACTTACTTACAGCTGTAATCCCGTGAACGCCAGCGATAAGATTGGGGACAGCTTGGATTTATTGTTTATAGTTTTATTTTTTTACTAGGGTTGTGTTTAAGCGAAAGAACCGCTCTTAGTCGACTGCATGACCAACTGATCAGTTATAAGAGGACTTATCAAATATTTGCATATGATGGCCCTTTCCACTCTTGGTTAGTCTCGTATGTTCTTCACATAGAATGCTTCCTATTGTCAGGTGATTCGTTCGCCAGGTATGCTGTCACTTATCACTTCACACTCAATACTTCCATGACCGTAAGGTCACTGTAAATACAATGTAAATGAAATGTTTACAATTATAGTTTATTTGTACTGTAGAAGTAGTTTTTTGTGGGATGTAAAATTTTGGTTTCAAGCGAGGTCTCGGTTACTATGTCTTACCTCGTCACGAGTTCGAACGTGACTGTGTGTAATACACACTGTGTATTATTATTATTTTTATATAACTTATAAAATTATTTTATTTGGTTTTTATTACCTTAATTTTGGAATATATATAAAATGTTTTTTTAATTTATTGTACGGAAGTGTAACTACTGGGATCACAAAATTATAATAAAATTATTTATATATTGATAAAAACTATAATAAAAAACAATGTCCATATATATACTTGTTTAGGCGTGGGGATCCCACGGTGGGGTTCCTAGGCACAACAGGTTAATGCGGGTGAAGAAATTTCCTCTGCTTCGTATCGGTCAGTGCGCTGTGTCGCTGACCGACAGTCAGTCAGTTGTATTCTGTGGTCAGTTCAACTGTCAGTTGTGCAAAGTGAGCCAAGCCGACTAGATCAGGTCAGGCTAACAGAGGTGGACTTGTGCAGTAAGATCAACTCTTCAGGCCAAAATTCTTTGTTGTCAATTAAATGTTCATCGGTCGCTAAAAGTACGTTTTTTCTGTGTTAATTTTAAATTGTGTTTTATGTTATGTTTTAAAAATTAATTATTATGGCTTTATATTGCTTAAATTATATTAATTTTATGCATATTATATGGATATTAAAATTTAATTTATATTTATAGGTATTATCTATTGGCATGATAATATTATATAATTATATTATTTTAATTAATTTTATAAAGTATTGTGTAAGGTAAATTACCTATAGGTGCCGTCACGCCCGAGGGGGGATGTTTTTTTAAAAAGGTCACGTGGCAAAGTAAATCGTATGAAATTGCTTATATAAATATATTTGTTCTATTTTTAGTCAGATTATTATATCTATAAAGTACAGAAAAGAATCGAAAAAAATGTTTAGATGGAATTAAGGTTTTATAATTCATCACATGACCCTTTCGGGGGGGTTACATTGTCACATTCTGTCACAAGGGGGGAGGGGGGAAATTTTGTATCATTTTTACAAGATTTATAAACGGCCCCTATAAGTAAATTTTAGAGGTTATTTAATGAATTTAAATGCAAGTTAGCCGAAAAAATAAAAATGGAACATATTTTTATAGCAAGTATTTTATTTATTTATCTACATAATAATAATAATAATATATTTCATCAACTAAACCAAATACATGATTAGGAAGAAAACATATGGTTTATGCGACTAGTTAGGAGTATTAATACTTAATTAAGTAATAATGGAAATACATATAAAAAATAATGATAATATAAAAACGTAGACAATCATTATTTACACGTAGATGCCCATCCCTGCATTAAACTATATTACTATAGTAACTATAATATTATGAATTTTATACCCATTTTATACCATGATAATTGTAGGATGTTTGGGAAATATATAAACGTGAAAATTGAAGACTGATATTATTTTTGTCTCTATATAGTATTATAGTGAATTTTGTTATTGTTTTGGAAAAATTATCGATATTATTACATGTATATTAAATAACTTTTAAAATAATAATAATAATAATAATAATAATAATAATAATAATAATTTATATAGACATAGACATGGAAGCGTTAACGCTTAACAAACTTTCATACGTTAAACAACGATTTGCATGAAATGTTGGACCCTTAGCATCCATAGTTCTTAAAACTTTTTTTGCCTAATGAAATTGGTATTAAAGTGTGCCGATCGACAAACACCAAAAGATAAGTTCATATTGTAAATGGCGTTGAACATTCCTGTTTTGGATACGAATGTTTGTTAATTAGTGGCCTTCTTCAACAATGAACTGTAATTTTGCTGGTTCATTTGTATAGTCCTTCGGAGGGGACTTTAAGCCGTCGGTCCGTTCCTACCCCTAACCCGCACAAGCCATTCAGTTGGCTTATGGGACATCTTAGTTTGGATGTAAGGGTGGAACTAAAAGAGCACTTTATAACTTTGTTGGAGATAGATTCCAACAATTCCAAAATACATTAGCCTTATGACTTCATAGATATACTATCCCTTAAGGATCTAATAAGGAAGCAAACAGAACTTAGTTTTTTGTCGAGTTCCTTTCCTTGAGGTGCGAGAAGACCCAATCATGAGGAATAACTCTAATTCCAGCACATTCAAGTTTGTGCAGCAATAGTTTATGCTCCACTGTATCAAAAGGATCCAACTAAATATTTATTATTATTTAAGGCTTTAAATATAAAGTTGATTGCATCTGAAAGAGCAGCTACGAGTAGCCGTTGATTTACATTTCTAAAGCCATGTTGATTTCTTATCAGAATTTTGTTTGATTTCAAGAAGCTGCTGACTTGATTATATATATATATATATATATATATATATATATATATAAAATCTATAATTTTGGCAAATTGATTTTGTAAGCAGATTGAACGATAGTTTTTGGGATCTACATATATTACAGCCTTTGTTCTTAAATATAGGAACACATTTTAAAATTTTTAATACTTTTAGTACTTACCATGACAGGCACCGATAAACATTATTTAACAAATTTAAAACCTTACCACTAACTTCGTTCAACCCAGGAGTTACTTTTTTTGTCATTCGCATAATAGCTTTTTCTACATCCAAAGAAATTATAGAAAGTGATACATTTAAAGCATATGCTTTAAATGTATCATAGATATCTATGTTAGGAGTTATTTTATTCTTAGACTGTCCTACAAAATGTTTATAAAATGAAATCTAGATTTGTAATTATATCATTATTCGAATCTTTAATTTAAATGTTAGAATTATCTCTTTGTTTTGTTTAAATTTATTTATTATATTTCAACTCTCTTTTGCTATATTATATGAGTTTATTATTCTAGAATCCTAAGCTGGGCGCGCTAATTCTAATTACATATGGGAAAGTCTTTAATAACTGAATTTAAAACAAAGTCTGATTATTATCAAAAACTAATGCATAATACGTCGTTTGCTTTTAAATTTACTATAGACGTATATCACTCAACCTATAAATTTAATCTGTCAAACTATGCTCAGTAAGTTATTTATTTGATTTTTTTTTTTGGAAAATAGTTTCATGCAAAATAATTAAAAATAAAACCCATCGACCGCTACGCGGTCTCCTGATTTTATTAAATATTATTTTGCATTCAACATTTTCCAAGAAAAACCAAACAAAAAACTACTGAGCCTAGTTTAACCGATTAAATTCATAGTTCTCGTGATATAATATATGATAATAATTACTAAAATTAAAAAACGATTTTTATATATAAAATAACTAAAGAACTATATAGTTTCAAAGAAAAAATAAACATTCGTAGTGAATGAGTAATTTTTTTAAAATTTTTATTTTGTCTCCTCCCATAATCTTTCTCTGAATGGGAATAAATTAATCTTTTAATATATATATATATTATAATAAATTATAATATTATATTATAATAGGTATATTTATAATATTTGTTAACTCTCTAAAAATGACTTATACCATGCCTGGTTAACCATGGTATATCATGCATGACATATTATGTAAAATTGACAACGAAAAAACCGACAAAAATTATAAAAGTATATTATATGGAAAATTGACTTTATGTCAAAAACTGTTTTACTTTATAAACTTCAGGGGATAATGTTACATGGAAATTAACTGCTAAATGTTCGGAATACAAATTGCTTTTGACGAGAATTATTAGTGGCTGCTTTTTCGCTATGGCAATTAGTCATTTTTGACTAATTAATTTTTAAAGAAAATATTTATAGTTTAATAGGGCGTCTCGAGCCGACAAAAGGGAGACGTAAATCATCTGAGTAAATAATGCGCATTATCTCAAGTGTAATAGTGGCGGCTGGTGGATTTTGGGTATACCAATATCTCAGTTATTAGACATGGGACCCACACCAAGTTTATAATAATTTATAATTACCTACATTAAATAGAGAAGTTCGGCGCAAATAGAATTTAAATTGAAGTTTTCGAAAAAAAAGTTAGTTTTTCGTGTCGCCTCACCAACCTCCTGGTCCCCCTATTTGATAATTCAAATTAAACTGGTCTTTTGTTTTCGTTTTATCGAAGAAATAAAATCACAAGATCGTAATTTACGATTTGTAAACAATAATAGTTTTGATAAATGCATTTATATGTATTCACATATAGTTATATATTCAGGGTGATTAACCTAACTGATTCATTAGAGTTTTGTAGAGAACTAATAGACATAATATATTATGTCTTTTAGTTCTCTGACATATGTATATTAGGGTGGTTCTTATTTGACCGATGTCGAAATTTTAATCGTGCCGCCCCCTCATTTGTTTTTAAAAAATATTAAAAAAATGTATGCCAAATTTGAATGTTATTTCCTTCTATTGCCTGTAACAACGAGAAGTTTTCCAGATAGAGGATTTTTGCCTTTAAAGTATTATTTTTTTAAAATTACTATTAATTTATGAAAAAGTATAATTTTTTGAGAAAATGTAGAGGACATAAGTTACTTTTAAACAAAAAAAAGAAATCATGTATTTTCATCCAAAGGTCTTTTTTACTTCGCTCGATTATTACTTACAGTTAGGGGACATATAGGGGATTTTTGATTTAAAACGCAATAATTTTATAAAATCATTAATAATTAATGAACAATTCTAATTTTTTATGGAAATGAAGGGAAAATATGGTACTTTTAAATAAAAAAAAAAAGAATTCATGTATGTCCATAGTAAGGTCTTTTTTACTTCATTCAATTATTACTATTATTTTTGTTATATGTTATATTGAAAATGGCATAAAAAACAAAATATCAGTGATAATTTGCATTTAATGCATAATTAGTGTATTTTGAAACGTAATTTTGTTACTTTTCTAATGTTGGTGCTACCTAAATATCTTTTAGGCAATCTTAAATTATTTGTTTTATAAAACAAATAATTTAAGATTGCCTAAAAGATATTTAGGAAGCACCAACATTAGAAAAGTTATAAATTACAATTATGTAAATAATGAAATTGATTTTTAGATTGTTTTCGAACAATTTATTTTTAAAGTAACATAGTTAAAATGGCAAAAAAATAAACAAAATAAAACCCAGAAAATTAAGTTTTTGGTATTTTATAAATTGTTTACAACAGTCTGTTTTTGCGTCGGGAAATACTTTTCGAAACTCTGACACAAGCTGTACAATAATATATTATAATACCACAAGCAAGAAGATTCTTTCAGCGATGGGATATCGATGACACTTTTATGAAAATCGATCCTACTGTGTGGCATCAGGACGTGAATTATCAAAACGGTTTAAAAACTGTAACTCAGCTGAGAATCGTTAACGATGCTGTCGAAAGAGCTGTGCATTTATTTGACACAATGAAGACCAGAAACAATTTGTTGTACAGCTTGTGTCAGAGAAAAGCATTTCCCGACGCAAAAAAGACTGTTGTAAACAATTTTTAAAATACCAAAAACTTCATTATCTGGCCTTTATTTTGTTTATTTTTTTTGAAATTTTAACTATGTTACTTTCTTTAAAAATAAATTGTCCGAAAA